CAAAATATACACGAGATATAGCGTGCCTCCTTAATTGAGAAATTATATCTATAGGAAAGCTTCGTGATCTTCATAATTAATAAACTAAATCGAGTGTTGTTATATGTCACCCATGATTTACGTCAACTATTAAGTCTCGATATAAGATTTATTATCGATTAACCGATAGAAAATATCGGTTTCAAGAAAAAAAAGAGATTTCAAGGAACTTTCAAGGAAGTTCAACATTTTGCACGAAAAGAAGTCTGATGAAGTCTCACACTTTTTCCTGTTTTTTATAAATAGCAATAATTAGACTTTTAGAATATAAGCAATGGTTCTTACGGACTGATACTGACAATGAGTTAACCCGGGAACGGACACCTAATTTTTTTTACATACCTAAATGGTCTAGGGTAATTTTTACACCAATTAAAAGTCATTGTTATTAATTACACTATTGCATATGTTTGATTGTTCTATAATTTATTAGTATTTAAGAACAATATATACATAGATTTACTCAACTTTTTTTTAAAAAAGTGAGAAAAAACAAAAAAAGCACATTAAAATTACTGTAATCTTCATTTTTTCGATGTCTGGGGTGCAGTAAAATTCACTCCCGGTCCCGGGTTAAAGAACTACCGAGAGTATACTCACGGCGGATGTTCAGCGAGGAAATGGGAGCGTAAACATTCCCCCGAGTTCCCGAGTTCTCGCGGGGACAATGATTTCTCGGCGCTATCACCGTCTTGCCACCTCGGAGCGGAATCGGCCGTTCCGCGTGTGATCGATCGGTGCACGTGTGTGCTCCCCGCGCAGTAGGCACACACAGCCTGCTTTTCCAGCATCGTAAGCGAGGGGAGAGGGAAGGAGGGTGGAGATAAATTATTACTCGTGTGCGGCGCGAGTAATGAATGAAAAGCGGCATAGCGCTCGCGCGTCCACGAGCTCGCTACTATATATCCCCCTACGCTATCTTTACCGGCGGTTATACGGCGGATAGATCTAGGAAAGACCTCGCTCAACGTGTCTCTCGCGATCGAATTCGGTTTATTATACAAGAGCGTACACCGGCCACCCGGAGTGAGGGTCAGCGACCAGCCAGCCTGCACCGGCCTATACATCTCGGTGCCGAGACACAGTGAAATACACAGTGAAATATAAAAAAAAACCGAGCGAGCGTAATAATATTACGACGATGTGCACAATAAGGTAATATTAGAAATAAACCGCCGGATAATTTCGCTGCGCGCGCGACAGCTGAATCGTCGAGAAGAATTTGCGCGCGAGAGATCGATCAGTCGTGGGGAAAATTAGAGTTTTGCTCTCTGAGCGGGGATAACGTTTGAGTGTAGAATGCTAAACAGCTGTTCAAACACCCTATCACGGACTAATTCTTCGGTTAACGGTTTGGAACAATCCGGATGTAATGTAGGTCCATTATATTATCGGTAGGCATTATAGAGTATCGCTAATAACGGCGTATTGAAACGGCTATGAAAATATTACGTCATAGCTGGTACGACGATACGCTAAGTCGCGAGGAAAACTTCGGCGATCGGGTAATTGAAGAAAAATTGGCAAATGCAAATTTACCATAATAAACACACGTGACGTATACGCGTATGATTCCACTCTCACGTTACCTAATACAATATATCGCTTTAAATGTCTCCGTGAAATGTTGCGCAACGCTCGCGACCTTCACCCCGGAGACGTAAGGGGGGAAAAAAAAGAAACTGAAAATTATGAAATTCTTATCATCAGAAGGTCGACACGGACCGGGTTCCGATCGAGCGAACGTGCCCGTGTACTTAATCATCGCGCGTCCGTTTCCATCGGCGAGAGCCGGTCGCGGCCGACGACGCGACGCCGACACGTGAGGCTCATTTGCATCTCGTTACATCGGCGCAGATTAATAATCGGCGCGATAGCGAGAGAGATCGCCGCTTCAGCGATCGGGAGAGGGACGTTGCTATCTATACGAGATGTGTACGTCGCACGCTGAAAGCGCGCGGCGCGGCGCGGCGCGGTGCGGTGGTCCAGCTGATAAAACTCGTGCCTTATCGCGGCGAGCGATTGTGTCCCGCGACCGCAGCCGAGTCAATATCGAATTCAAAGGATTATCGCGCGAGATGCGCCGGGGTCGTCGAGGCACAATGAAATGCGAGAGCGAGGTAGCGAGCGTGTGTATAAGAATCGCAGCGCGAACGGGATGTATTAGCGGAAATTACTTGAAGAATATATTACGCCGATTCTCACTACTTCGACGTTACCTTGAAAAAAATATTCGTAAGTGACGCTTGAATATATAACCATTAAATTGATTAATAAGAGATCATCTAATCTGTTATTAAAAAGTTGTTACAACACATTCTACAGCGATATATAGAATTGAAGTAGAAAAATATAACTGTTTACCGCACCCCTCTTTCCGCCTCCCGAAGCTGTTGAAGGATACGTAATAAACTTTATCTATCTATCTATCTATGCCTTATTCTTTATATCTTATCCTTGTAGCTGATAATTTCAGACCTACGTCCGTGTGCGTGTGTATACGTGTTACTCGATGGAATCTTCGCTCGACTAACAACTATGCCGGCTCGTTAGGATGTCACTTTGTCGGATCGTTTATGCGTGCAAACTTGCGCAGATTCCGCACCGATGCTCGCGCGCTAGATAGCGAACCGATCAAAACGACCATCGATGATTTATGGTATTCCGAGTAAAATAACGCCGGCGCGTATAATAAAAGTTAAACGTTCCCGGCAACGGTCGGAAATATTTTCACGCAAAAGGTATAGCATTCGGGAATGAATGTCGCGCTGTATGCCACAGCGCGATAAATTAAAAGATAAAGAAATATTACAAGTTACAACCGTAACTCGAATCAAAACGGGAGTGTTAACGTTTCGAAATTATGATATTTATCTGTACTATACAGATTGAACTTTGATCGATTGTTTTAACGACGATACTTGTACGATCTTTCGAGACGAAACAGAGAAGTTAGTCTATCCTGAAATATATTGAATTCTCCCACTCCGCGTTCTTCTCCGTCCTGAATAAAATTGTCACGGTGCGCGCGTGTTCTATAGATGTGATCGAATATTGTTTTAAGGATCTGAATCTGATTGTTCTAAGTATCTCGTCGTGTGGGCAGGAGATGTAATTTATCACAGAAGCGTGATCCTCGGATTACACGGTGGATACCAAGCGCGCTCTTTTCTCTCTCATGTTCTGCGAAGGGAGGGCGTCTTTAATCGGAGCGAGAGAACCGAGAGCTGGGTCCCCATTATTTTCTCGGTCAACCTAACAAAGTCGATATTGCGACAGAAAAAAAAAAAAGAATTAGTAACCCCTAATCAATGGTTCGCAATCCTAAACAACCTTCGTATACGTTACGTCACTGATTACTCCGGTTTAATATATACGTAATGTACGTTTTCCTTTACTTCCTTTACATGTGCGTTTGTTTATAAATGACATTCACATATACGTTGCGGTTTACCGTAAATTTTTATAAAGGTTTCATCTATAAAAATTTATAGGCGTGTTAAATGTACGACGGTACGATAGCAAACATATCGTTAATATAATATGGCCATAATCAAATCAACCTTTATTAGCGGAAATTTGATAGGGGACTAAGAGATTTCAGCGAACGTTAACGCAATCGTTGTTATAGTGTGTGTGAAAGTGATAACTATTACGATTGAAGATTTCGAAAAAATTATATACAACCGAAGAACGCAATGCTGATTTCGAACGCGAAAAGTGCTTTTCTTTATGTTTCGATAAAATGCAGACTTTCCAAATGGTATCTGTATGAAACAAGAATCAAATTCTCAGAAAATCTCTCTCTCTTCCATTTACTTTTATTTTGCCTTTCGCCTATCGTCGGTTTCCATATTACATAGCTGTATGAATTATGTAATATTTAAATTATGTAATCTTGTCGTTTAGCCCCGACTATAAATTAGATAAAGGTGTTACTACTACATGTCAACGTAAACAATGTAATACCGCGTTCCTCTGATTGTCTTATCAGCGCAGCATTAATTCCAGCTTGAAGAATGATTAAACCGTATATCAAAAACGTGCATTTGTAGAAAACGATTGTCCCACCTTTACAAAATTATTCAATTCTGTTGCAGTGGGGTAATCGTTCCGAGCCGATATATTCTAGATTATCAATAAATTAATATTGAATATATCCCAGGAGATTATACACCCTTGTTAGTCCGATAATTCTGACCGGAGAACGTCAGACCGTGACAGATCTAATTCGGAGTGATTATGAAATTACGACACCTTGAATAAGACAGCATCGCAGAGATCGAATTAGGAGCGGAATACTAAAGCAACACGGTGATCGAATTAAGGATCAAGATACGATCGCCTTTACCGTATTATTCGCGATTACCATTCAGTGTCGTCAAATTACCGTTCCCACCACGACAAAACGGTATTAAACGGGGGGCGATTTTTGTGGCAATCCCGCGAGAAGAAGTCCGATTTGGCGATGATGAAATTACAAATTGTGTCCTGAATTATAATGTCGCGTTTCGGATAAGAAGGCGGAGATTGAATCGCGCGCGTTCGCGTGCGGCGGGATCAGAGATCGTGACGTGTGGGAGAACACGAAGATCATCATCCCGGACCAGAGAGAGAAAGAGAGAGAGCCTCGCGAAGTAGATCTTGGCCGGTCCAGACCTCCCTCCGCGAGGATCGGCAGTGTCGTGGAGAGTCTCGAAAGAGACGGCAAACGCGCTCTCGGCGAGGCGCGCTCGAGGCGTCGCGACCTGGACGAGGTCCAAGAAGACGCACACGCATACCTAACGAACATCGATAGTGGGGGAGAAAGGTCTCTCGACGGAGATTCACCGTGACCGAAAGAGCGTGTTTCTCCCTATCCTCCCACCCGCGCTCCTCCACCACCTCCTCCTGTCTCTCTCTCTCTCTTTCTCACCCGGTTTCTTTCCTCGTCGCCGCGCTACCGCGTTTGGTAAACTCACCGGATCTCGTAGCCTACTGGATCATCAGCGGGGCATGTCGACGACGGGAGTCAGGTCGGTCGGCCGAGTTCCCGCTGTGCCGCGGCGTATCGATCGATCTCTCCCCGCGCGAGAGCGTCAACGAGAGCGAGGCCGAGAGAGTAAGCGAGCGAGCGGGCGATCCTCGGGATCGGCGCCGCGACGCGGCGCGCCGCACCGCACCGCACCGCGCCGAGCCACGATCGCGATCTCGCTCGAGGACGTGCGCCGCGTGCGTGTGTCCGTCAACGACGACGATGATGATGATGATGACGACGATGTTGACGACGGCGAGGACGCGCACCGCCGACTAACTAAGCGAGCAAACGACGCGCGGGTGCCGTCGGATCGCCGAACAACGACGGTATCGTCGTTCGTCGTCGTCGTCGTGTCCCTCTTCCTTCTCTCTCTCTCTTTCTCGCTCACGACGTTCGGCCGTTCTCCAGAACGACGTCAATGGTCCCGCGCGCGCGATCGATATCTCCCCACACCGTGATACAGCACCCCCGCGGCCGCCTCGCGTCGACGGAGTGACGGGAAAGAGAGGCGAGAGAGATCGTGAGACGGCGCGATCGTTCGCCGATCAAAACAAAACTTCCCGCTGCTGCTGTTGTCGCTGCTCCTCCACCTCCTCCTCCTTCCTCCTTCCTCTCGTCCTCCTCGCCGGATGCTGATTCTCTCGCACACTAATTCGCGTCGTCGATACCGCACGCCGAACCGACAGGCACACTCGCGTGACTCTCTCTTCTCTTTCTTCCCGTCGTGTCGTGTCTTTCTATCGGCGATCTCCCTTTTCTTTTACTTTCCCTCTTTGGCACACTCTTCAACAAGACTACTCTCTTCCTCGCTCACGCGGTCCGTCGGCGACGATTCCAGCTCTCGCTCTCGCCGTCGCGATCCGTGTCGAAGAAAAATCTACCGCGAACGTTCGCCAATTTCATCCGAGTCGAGTCCCTCCTCCGCTTTTGCCTCTTCCTCTTCTTCGCACGTTCTCCCTCTCTCTCTCTCTCTCGTTCTCTTTCTCGCTTCCTTCACCTTCGCCGTGAATCACTCGCAAAAAGGGCGCACGATTATATTTATAGGGACCGTGTCTCGGTTGATTGCGTGTCGCGGCGCGTGAATTATTCTTAGGTCGTCGTGCGTGTGTGCACGCGTGCGTCGGTGTCACGCTCGGCTCCGATTCGTGCCGCGCGCGCGGTTAAGATAGGTTAGCTTTTATCCGCGACGTGGATCGCGGGGGACTAGATGCGTTGACTAGATGCACGGCGTGATACGGGCGCGTTCTTTCCTAAAATATACTTTTTTTTTGCTCCGAAACGCGTGACAGTCCACGACGACGACGATGGCCGACGGTGAACGGCGAGGCGAAAAGACGGCGGGCGAGGACTCCGACGGCGTAACACGCGCGGACGGCACTGCTTCTCCTCTCTCTACGCTGCCAGAGCGTATTCAAATTTAGACACGCGTCGTCTCTCCGCGACTCCGACGGGTGCTGCCCTGGCGCACACAGTCGCGCGTATGTACGACGATGCACGACGACGGCGACGGCGACGGCGGTGGCGGCGGCGACGGTAGCCGCTTGCGGTGAGCTTGCCGTGAGGACGGTTAAAAAACCGGGGCGGTCGCGCGCGCTTCGACCAGTTCGCCCCGAGTTCGCGGTCGAGCCTGAAATAAAGATTTGAGGAAGTCGCGCTGAGAACCGAGCGAGAAGAGAGTGTGCGTGCGTGCGTACGTGCGAGCGAGACGGACGGAGGTGGAGAGCGCGCGCGCGGGAGGAAGAGAGAGAGAGACAGAGAGAGCGCGGAGGAAGCGAGAAAGAGAAAGAGAGAAGAACTGAGGGAGCAGGAGGGGGGAAAAACGAGTCGCCGCGGCTGGTAATCGTGTACCAGTCGGTCCACCTCGCCTCTGAAGTTCGCCACGGCGAGCGGAGATACGTCGGCCGCGGCGCGCCCGCTCATTGGTCGATAACGCCGCAAACGTCAGCCGACCGCCGTCCAATCGCGCGCCGTACGACGCGCGCGCCATCTCGCGCCGCTCATTGCCGGCTCGTCGCTGGCTCTCGGCGCGACGACGTAGCGACGTAGCCGCGTCCCCCTCGCACTCGCGTGGCGCGCCGCGCCGTCGCGCGTGTTCTCGCGGTCGGCGGCGATGCAGCGACAGCGAGACGCGTGCGCGACGCGATTATTTCGTTCGGAGCAACGGAGGAACGGAGCACCGCGCGAGACCGCTGCGAATTTTCAACCACAGCGGCACAACCGAAAACCGCGCGCGCGCGCGATTTCGTTATTCTCCTTTTATCGCCCTTTTTAATTAACTATGTTGATAATCTTGGCCTGACCGTAGTTTCGTCAATCGTCCTTTTAGTAGAAAAAATATGCAAGTTATGAGGAAAGAAATGCATATTAAAGTTTAATATCAATGTATTCGGTCTAATTCTTCATAAATCGTGCGTAAATTTTTCTATTGCGGTGCTAACGTGATATAAAGAATTAAGAAACGAATAATAAAGGAGAGAGAAACATTTGTCTCCTCAGATATTTATTAATGCAAAGACTCGCTGATGTAAGATGCGATAAATTTATGTAAAAATTATATAGTTAGGTAGATAACATCAAATATATGTTCCATTGCCTTAAATGTGCAATTTTTCATGACCTGAATATTTTCCCTTCTGGATGGGACAGAAAGGCCAGAGAAGGCTCTTTTTACAGATGTATATTAGAGTCGCGCGTTTGCAGTTGAAACTTCATAAGAGAGAGTACACGGAGCATCGAAAAGTCGCTTTGCATATATCCAAAGCTGCGCATTTTTAAGGGTCAACTTCCTGCTTAATAACCATAGAGATATTAGAGATTCATAATAAAGTTTGGGAGACGAGGAAAGGCACGAATGCAGTTATAATTTGGGAGAAATTGCCCCAGCGTAACGATCTCTCAAATCTACGATCGCGCGAGGATTGCCCACAGAAAATCGATACGCAATAAACAATCCGCGCGCGCGCGCGCGCACGATTCCTGGTTATCGTTTCGAATGCAATCTCGCGACGCACGTGTTGAAGAATGATTAAGTCCTCTCACGGCGTAAGCGTTTTCCTCGATCGGCGCGCGAGGCAAAGTGCGGGAGAGCCCCGATACCGCAAGAAAAATACTTAGCGAAAAAAGAGGCAATTACGAAACGGAGTTAACAACGAGTGGCGATTATGAGCCGTTACGTCGCGGTCGTGTGCACGCCGATAGGAAGAGGAGACGCCGCGCCGCGTGCGTCCCGTCCGTGCCGTGTCTCGTATATACGCGAGGGAAAGAGAAATGAATATATAGGAAAAAAATAGCGGGGAAACGGCGCTTAAACGTCACATTTGGCGTCAGTCGATGCGCGCGATTCGACCGGCGTGTTTACGCAAACCGGTAGCATCCTTACACTTTATTAATATTTCGCCCGCCAGAAATACCGCGGCGGTGTACGGTTCAAGAATCGACCTGCGTTTTATACGGAGCTCGGCGCATTACAAAGTGTGTATATGCGCGCCTCGGAGTCGACGAAAATAACAATTGTGTTATAGACTTGGCCGTACGCGAACGCGCGGCGACTGCCCGAGTCATGCACCGCGGTATGCAAGTGCACGATTCTATTTAAGGCGTTATCCGCGCTTCCGCTCAATTTCCGCGTAACATTGTGCGAGACAGGTGTCTCGTTCCCCCCCTTTTCTTGATTTCGTGACGGTATCCGATCGAAACGGGAGGCTGGACAGACTGATCTCTTAATGACCCTATCGTTATCATTGTATTGTCGTTGCGTAGGTACAATATATGTGATAAAAAAAGCTGTCTTAACGACACCGTAATTAAAAACTACAGAATAGGGATACAGGACATATTCGCGACAAGATCGCTCGCTCCGACTCTGGAACTTTCAGCATAATCCGAATGTTTCGACATTTGTATTCAAGCTCGCGATTATACGTTCACGCGTATAGCATCTGAGATATTCGTCGAAATAGATGAACGAAAAGTAAGTCATTTATTTAAATTAAATTCCAGTTCGTGGATTAGTTAAATTGGCAAGAATCTAATATCGAAAGGCTGCGATATGTTAATCTCATTAAAATATCTCCTGTAGAAAATGTCATAATTGCAATCAATAATAATCCGTAGAATGTTTATTTATTTATGTATAAATAGGATTAAAAGAGGGGTACCCTTCAGTAATTATAATTATACATAGTATAATTATAATTACATCAGCAAAAGACGCAGAATAAGATGCTGAAAGAAGGATATGAGAATAACAACATTATAACAACCTTAGAAGTTAAGAGTAAAGATGAGATCTAACGAGAAAAAAGGCAATGAGATAATAAACGTTTAAAAGAGCTATAGAGAGACATAATGAATATAGAGACTAAACAATTCATAAAACTAGTCTGAAAGACGAGCGAACGTCAACGGTGATATTCAGTACCACGGCTTGCGAGAAACCCTAAAGGATAAAAATATCTGCATGGCGGAAAATAATCCATTTGTCGGTCCTCTGATGAGAGGAGAAAAGAACAGACGATTTAGAATAGTACGTTGACAGTTTTCGAAACCGCGCGATCGACATTCAAAATTCGATGTTCCGATTTCTACCGGAAATCACATCCGAAATTGACGTCGATTTGCTAAGGCGATATCGAGCGTCGCGGTTAACACGTCAGTCGGAATCGCCGACACTCGCCGCGGTCCATCCGTCGAGGAGCGTAGACGGCCGATAGTCACGACATATGAAATCTGTCCTGACAAATATATCAAATCGCCGCGAAAATAGCCGCGCGCACATTTCAACCGGATTTTACGACACGTCATTAAAAATTTCGGAATTGCGCTCGCGGACAACCGGAGTTGCGAGTCGGCAAACCGCTTTTTTTTTCATAGAATAAAATCAGGGCGAAATCAATACAGTAAAATACGAAAATTGTAGAATACAGACTAATGGAATATCAGAATAGTAGAATGTTAGACTTATTGATATAACAGAACACGCGGGCCTCTCCGTAACTATATATATAAATCCGCGGCCTCGTGAAAATCTGGAATATCAATAAAATAGCACAAGTAATTTTTTGTCGACAAACGCAAACTAGTAACGTATACAAGTAACGCTTGTCATTTAACAAATGACACCAGT